CTTCATAGTTTTTGCAATGGTTCTGTTGCTGTTTTCAATGCGAGTATATGATGTCTGCGTATATGAAGGCTAACATCCATCTCCAAGCTGTGTAAAAAGCGTCTTCTTCACTGGTTTCCTTCTATCGTGTTAAATAAACAGATCTTCGCTGCCTCACAGTCACCTTACAGACAAATCCGTGAAAAAGCAGCTTTTGTAATAGAGCTTCGAAAGAAGATTTTGTTAAAGTAACGACATGCTAACAACATACTCTTCATCAAATGTAGTATGCAAGGATCAGCTTTTTCCGCGGAAGTTGCTCACGCTCGATCTGCAAAATACAAAGACGCAGAAAACTCTATGAGCACAGAGCCTCGGTAAGTGCATCAACAGGATTCTACACTTGGATCACTCGAACAAAATTATGCCTGTTTACAGCTTGCTCAGTACACAAAGATTGAATCCCGAGGAGAACTTCTGTTGAGCACGCTGCTGGCAGCCATATGAATGTCCGAATAAGGTAAACGTGGGGTCCAGTTTGCGTACTTACTTGGTAAATTCACCCCGGCATAAGTTGGCTACGCCTCTAATCAGTCAGAACTTCACACAATCGGGTGCTCAATAGAAGCTTCAAGTTCAGTGGAACTGTTTTAATAACACTTTTCTTTCCAACTAAACGTTAATAACACTTATAGTATGAGAGAGGAATTTGCATTGTTTGTGTTTCCTATAATCCACTTGTCTAAGTTTTCCCTGTCACGTTACTGTTTTAGTGTTTCATCCTATTAGTTATTATTTTATCATGTAATAATGGTACAATATTGCATGATGGTGCTCGCGGTCACTTGAATGCTGTCAAATGTGTCTTGACCGGCATCATATTCTGCTTTTTGGATCATTCTATGTTGGCCTGCGGAGACGAAACCGCGCAATCCTCGAACCAGTGGAAAATTCCGAAGAAGCTTTACGAATCCCTGAATGTCATTTCGGTTGGTTACAGGATGAAGCAAGGTAATGCACTAGAGAATGGACACGTGAACCACATGTGAACCTTTGACACTATAAAGCCCTAGTCGACGGCTCCAGTAACACAGTATATCATTCAATATTGTGTTTGATTTTTTACTTGCCCGTTGGATCGGTTTGCTGTCTACGGTCTCTTACCAGAATAATCACTAGTTCGGACACTGTGTGTACACCTACCAGACTGTTTCCAGCCCTGATATCGATTGATCCTGTTCAGTTGAGTTCAGTTCAGTTCGCTCATTCGGTATCTGCACTCTATAGTTATACATAGTCACTGTTGAATCTGTTTTGCCTGTTTCAATCTTGCTCATTTATGAACACCAACCTGTGCTACATTTGGACCGGTTTGACCTATTCCTAATTCATTAGACGTTGACCACTTGATTGCACGGCTATCAGTCCACATGATTACTCATCGCTCTCAAGCGTTGCTCGTCCGACACACACACACACACGCACACACACACTCACACACACGGTGAACCACCACTCGGTCGATTGACTAGACCTGGACTAGACTGTTTGATTGGGCACCGAATTCCGATCGGCTGCACCCGGCAGGCATGTATAATCCCACACATGTACTGACGCATACACACGCACCCACACAAGACTGTGACCTGTTCGACCCGTGACTAATCGTGTCCCTTATATGCGCGTTCCTTTCCTTGTCATTGATTGTGGTGGTCGTTTCGTTAACCGACTTGGTGACTTGTGCCTCGGCCATTTGGCCATAGTACGTGTTATCCATTCTGAACTGTACGGAACGTTAGTAGGCGATGATTCCTATGAGGACGTCACGTTTTGAAGTTTCTACATTTACCCCTTTGATTAATTATTGTTTGCAGTAACGGTAATAAACCTCAGCTAGTTTGATTTGGTTTCTGAGGAGAGCGCGTCACTCCAACTCGGCCTAGACACCAGATAAATTTGACTAAAGTTCAGGAATCGGACGTACGTATCTAACAGTCACAATAGAGCTTCCCGTTCACTGTGTAGTCATTTGTCTAGCTATTCTTGTTGTCATTTCTTCACGCATACAACACATGTTTACTTCTTTTCTGGGACCAAGAATATCAACATCTTACATAATTCTTCTCAGCTCTGATGACATTCAACCACGGAAAGGCTGAGTGAACACCATCTGAGACTACTCCGAAAACATTCTTTTTTAAAAGATTTTAAGCTTTTCTGAGTATCAATAACTAGCACTCCCATCTCATCCTAAAAGTTCAGATATTGTGAAATCTATTTTTAAACTACTCAGGAAAGTATCAAGCAATTAGCCTGTATCTCTTAGGCCAAAACAGTGATTGAAGAAGTCAAAATGCCTTTTTGCGAGCACTAAATCATGCTCAATAGAAGTCCCATGAAAATGTCAGTCCTACAAACATGCGCCTCTTATGTTACGGTCGGAGCCGAATCGCTAATGGTTGTTGACGCTCAAACATTGTCTGTTTTTTCTCAGAAACCACAGTCTGCAGAGCCTTTTACTGTACATTGTGACGTAAGCTTCTGACGATCTACCTTGTCATTATGTGGTACATCATGGGTAACGAACCCCTTGTATGGGCTGTAAGCTGCATTCTGCTTGGCTTTTCCGTTTACTTCCACAGACCAGGCATTGCGGTTAGATACGAGCTGATCAGAAGCCGTTGCCCAGTTTTGTTTCCAGCAGTTGGTACTGCAAATCGACCGTAGACCTTATTACTGATCCAAGGTTTGAGCTGACCCTTAAGACGACCGCGAGAACCGTTCAATCTTAAGTGTTTCCTGGAAATTTACCCATTGGATTGTTGAAGATGGCCAAACCACTTCCATTCCTAATCCTATCATGTATGTTTGATCATTGTGTGGCCTGTTGAAAAAAGATTTCGGTGTTTTGCTTCATCCCCTTTCCAAGCAGTCACGTTCAACGACACGGGCTTTCCTGCCCATTCTAACCATCTGCTGATGATATACATTTATCTTATCTACTCAGATGTAAGTGGTCTTTTACCACAGTCTGATCAATCCTGTCCACCCTTCCTATTTTTTGATTGACTCGCTCTTTCGCCGGTATCCATTCTGATTGTCGACAGGTTCAGCCAAATCGCTTCTAAGCATTCCTACACCACTGGATAACTATATATGGTGTTCCTCATACAGTCATCTAGAGACAAAATTCATGATTTCACCGCAAGCTCTTCCATGATTTCATCAACGGTCAAGGATATAAATTGTTGTGTCTCCGAGAAAACCTCTGGATTATCCCCGGTCAATGATTCCTCGATAGTCCAATCCCAACGGAAAGGTAACCAAGAACAAGTGCGGAAATTTTACTCAAAGGTAATCAAAAATCAACACTTCGTATAGCAAAAGGCAAGGAATACATGGACACTTATGGCGTTTTGGTTGATTGCTCAGCGTGGTACGCTGATGTGATTCGGTAATATGGATCATAGTACACCATGAGCTTGATTGGTTGGTGGGTTAGCGGTAAGGGTGGGCAGTAGGTTCCCTGCCAGTGGTCGATGTGAACATTGACGTGTGATACACTGACTGGTTTATGGGCGCACGCGCCATGACTGCACTGCTACGTGGGATGTGAAGACCCTGTCACTGGGTACAGCTCACAAAACACCCTGTCCATAGGTTGGGAAAAAGCGGACTGCAGCCTTCCTGATGACGTGTTTTCTGGGGAATTTCCAACTTCCTCACAAAAATAAATTTGCACGACTGTCTACAACATTATGAACATGGGACTCAAGGATAAATTCCACCTTTGACGGAAAGGTTCTCTCACATTCAATTCTGATATGGATCGTTCCAATATCGTTCGTCATTTTCTATCTTTCGTGACTTCATTTTGTATGTTTTGCTTTCATAAATACGCTCGTCCGACTGAAATACCAGCTCAAAATAACTATCTCATGATTTCGTCCCTAGTGATTTTGTTCAATGCTTAATTGGACCGTTTTATTCAGGACCATATCTTTGCATTTCTAGCAATGATAATTCCCCTGAAACTGATAAACCTTGTAGACATGACTTCGATAATATTGTACGTATAAAAGTGGTTTTACTAACTGTCTATCTCTGATTCTCAGCAAAACGGACCATTATTGTAACTGATTCCATAACGTACCACGTTCCCTTAAACACCATTTCTTCAACACAAACAGCAACAATACCCAATGGAGAAGTCAGGTAACCCGTTCTTTATTCCAATTACGTAAACATATTTGCTGCAGCACGAACATGTATTCGATTGATGATCTGGGAAGACAGCATGGCATTTCGAAGTTTGTTTTCACCGGTCACTTCCTCAATTGTTTAGCTTCAGAAACGTACACACGAGAGGTTTGGTCCTGCTGCGGCCCACACAGAGCTTGTCACTGACAAATTCGAACAATACCCATTGCACACTGACTCGGTGTTCTCGAGAGCTGTCTTGGCGTAACTGCTGGACAAACTTTTGATTTTTGCTAATACGCAACTGAGTTACATGTAAAGCATCGATTCCAACCTAGTGAAAACTGAGACCGTCTCTTGGTACGACATTATTAATAAAGTAAAACATTCACCCCAATCAAATATACAAACCTTAAATCATGAAGTGTCTAGTCATCCGCGCTGTCACAAAGCACTGAAATATGGTGCATCCAGTATATAGCGAGATCAGGTGGTTGCGTCTGAGGTTCAACATGACAGCAATTTGCTGTGTCTAAGTGGGGATTAATCGAGAGATTGATTGCACGTAGGAGGATCACACGTTACCATACATGAGGCTGGCTAACTGTCCGTAAAAAACAAGCAATCACGTTAGGAATCGTTACAAAAGATGACTGTAATTCCCGTCGAACTATGAGTGGTACAGGTGTGTTCGTATCCGCGTTGGACTCATATGAAGCACCAACAAAGAGAAAACATTTAGAGGACCCATAAGGAAATAATACACAGAAAGGATAAGTATGCGATAACATGCGACATGTCTCTACGTCCACCGAACAGGTTCAAAGATCGATACGAACGACGGTCGCCGAACAGCGTGTGAAATCCAAAACTGATAATAAAAGGGGAATGTCAAAGGGGAAAATAAACATGAACCTGTCACTAAGGTCCTAATTACGGGGAAGAGGATCAACAGCGCTGCACAGTGAGATCAAACTTACGGTGCCAAAAAGGGCAAAATAAGCACCGTAGCAAATGGGTGAGAAGATATTGCAATAAAACCAAGATCACTGCGGTTTGATGACTTAACAAAATTTAGACTGATATTATAGAAAAATGAATTGATTATATGATGGAAAACTCACTTGCTTTTTTCTCATCCGAAAGTCTAACGCCGCGAACCGGAGTCGAACTGGCGGTACTCCTCTTACCAGGCAGATGTTGTCACATGTCCATTGGATCACGTTCAGCCGTAAGCCATTCGTCCCATTGGAAAGTGACCGACAAGGCTAGCCAGGCGATTAAATTCAGGACAGTTTCTGTGTGTCATGAGAATAGTGGTTTGCGTATCATCGAATATTCACCTGTATTATTCACACCAGACTGAACCTACCACGATGGACCAGTTAGTAGAACATCTGGTCTATAAGAGGGGTATCACAGGCTCGTTTTCGGCTAGCGGCATTAAACCCTTGGGTAGGAAAAATGCAAGTGGATTCTTCATCCTATGATTCAGCCGCCTTGTGCCAATAATACGTTCTATGAATAAGCTAATTGTATGGAGCTGAAGACCAGCAGGTAATTATTTCAGGAAGAGTCGTGGACGAATCAACGGAAAACAGCGACATTACACCAGAAATCGAAACTAGGGACCATGTGTCCTCGTTCTGGAGGTTTTCCTTGACTAGCCAACGTAATAATTTTCTTGGAAGCATCCTGTGATTCTAAAAGTGGGCTCTCCCTCCATACACGTTTATGTCATGCTTGGAAATGACCTACTGTTCACCGTGAAAGCCCAACCGACCAATGAACAGTATGTAAGTTCTGTAAAAGTGTTTCGTCTTACTCGTTCGGATTTATCAGAACTACGTACTTACCGAGTGACCGTTTCGATTCAGACACGAACTGAAGAGGTGCGAATAAGGTCGATCTGTTCCACCTCAATAATATTGCAATATCGCATGCCATTTCTTGGTTCCACTACACATCTGCGTCAAATGAACTATCAATTGCTCGCAATAGGTCACATCATTTCACAATAACTTATTCCATAGTTAACTATAGAAATGATCAAACCCTGGAAGTCCTTCTTGTTTCTCAAGGTTATGAGAAATAAACAGGGTTGTTCAGCTCGGGCAACTATTAACATTTTTCACGATTGGATACAAATGTTGACTGTAGCATTCAAAATGAGAACCAATTTGCTGCCTTTGTTCATTTACCCCTTCACTCTGGCGTCAAACAGCAGTGACTACACATCTTCACCATGTTTTTGCGGATTTACTTTGCACAACAGCAATTCTGTTTACATGTTTTCTTCCTTCATTTTGTTTATTTCAAAGTTGATACTCAGAAACACATATGAGATAGTCTTGACCAATACGACTTGTCAGCATGATTCACATCAACTATGGTTTAAAACAACACGGATTACGGTATGATCTCGTCCCAACTTGATCAAGCGGTAAAGAAACCGAGAAATAGTAGACATATACCAATAAACAATAATAATAACATTACGGATAATAAAACCTTTGAGAAGCTATTGCCGATTCAGGTCTGGCCTGTGGGTTTCACTGATTTGCTAAGTTATCATGTAACGATTCCAAGATCATTGCGGACGCCAAAGCTAATCCCATCTAGCTGTGCACATCGAGGAGTTTTCCTTAACCCATTCTATAGTTATTATATAATTTTCAGTTGCAACCTTTGAAGATATTTTTGAATTCTACGACACAGTCCGATCACAACGAATTTCATTTCGCTCAGAGTTTATGGTATGGTTATTGAAGTCAACATCACACATGAACAGTCGTACATTGCGTTCGCTTAAAGGATAAAGTGTGAACACTAAATAACTGAACGCGGACTTGCCACTACAGAGCTCCTTTAAATTTCAAGGTGATCCAAATGGTAAAAGCCGTCATCTCGAAAAATTTGTCAAATCCGTCAAACATCGATATATAATCAAAACACGTCCAGTATACCGATGTGATGGACGCTGATTAGTATAAAGGGAAATCATGCTGTAAGCAGCCAAATTACAAGCTAGTTCACAGTGGTGGATGCCATGAGCTACTGTATATCGGGCGGGTAAACTGTGTGGTCTATATGCTAAAAGTCAGAAGCTCTAAGGCGTGGCCTCGTAGCCCAGCTGGTAGAACACTCGCGGTTTTTAAGTTTACTCCTCATTCACGCTAATAGAGGAATACAGAGCTTATTCGAATATAACTCATTCCCGTAAGTGAATCGTGTTTCAGTGGTGCTTTTGCGTTTCAGTATAGCTTTCAATTTGTTCTGTGTGATTGAAATGTTTCAAACTACTCATTACTTTCTGCTATACTTCAGAAATACCCAAGTTGGGGTTTTGAGTGAAACGCTTTATATGAATGTAAGTATTGAAGCTTCCAAGGTTTACAACGATGCTCAAATTATTCGCCTACTGTCATACACAAATCCGCTCAGTTCAATACGTTGTATGAATATTTCGTTCGTTTCGGCTTATTCTGCACTCGGTCTTTGTGCATAAAGCTCTTCAATAAATTTTCTGTTGATCTTCAAGTTTCTAAGTGTACAGTCTGTCCAAAGTATTCGGGATCATCTCAGTTCGGTCGAATTTTTGGCAAACGATTGAATTCCAGTTTATACTGCTAACACTACTATCTCGCTCGCTGAACAACGATGTCTGTTGCATATTATTGGCTACTGATAGTAGAGTCAGTTGAATATACTGGGATTTCGATTATACATGAGCAGTATGAAATTCGATTTACATTCTATGATTCATCAGGGAGTTTCATCGCTCAACCAAACATTGAGATTCATGGGATCACTGCATAGCTGTTTCAACTTTGTTTTGGGATCGTCATCAGCAGTGCGCATTCACCAAGCCCCAAAGGGGACTCGAACCCGGAGTGAACGACTGTAAACCGAAAACCTAAACACCACGCAATCCGGGCTGGCTCTAACGGGTTTGTTGTACTTAGTTGTACCAAATTTTGACGGCTAAAGTAGCATTCCATCGAATACATTGGGTATCTCATGGAATGGTGCTCACCAATCTCATCATAAATTTACACAAGAGAGTTTGGATTGATAACCTCATGAGGAAGTACAGGTCTATCAACAGATATGGCGTGATTTTTTGTGATGAAAGGAAATCAGAAAACAAATGCTCATGTGCGTAGAACTGACAAAATATGTTGACTCATAGGGCCTTGGCACATCCGTAAGTGTTTTTGTGTTTTTCTCTACTTGCGTCCGTGAGGAAACGGGAAAACCATAAGTAAACAGTTTGCGCTATTGGCACTTCACGTTTGGTTATATGCTGGCGAAACACTTGTCAGTATGACAATGGGAATCAACATGATGGCGACTAAAATGTTGCGTGGTGAAACACATCAAGTTATAACGTACCTAAAAGTGATGGTAATTCACAGATGAAGAACAATTCAATTATGTATCGTGAACCATTAAACCAAGGAGTCTTGAGATCTCTGATGTTCTAACTCTGTCGCAGTAGATGCCGGTTTAACATATTTGTGACATCTCTTTTTGATCAGCCTATCTGCGCTCATTGGTAAGTGCCTACTTTTCGATGACACAGTATTGTTGGAAAAGATGGTTAATACTTAAGTTTTCGGTTACAGAGAGTAACCCTCTATTTTGGACTATAAGCTGGTCTTCAGAAAGGTTACCCGTCTTAACCTGAACGTCCGCTGAATACAGTCTTTTCCAACAATACAGGGTTACTGAACAATAAACACTTACCTATAACATCACATGGCACACCTTTTTTCGAAACTCTCTGAACTGATCTCGGTTCCAATACATTATCTCTGCTCAGATGACACTTGACATGGATTTGTTGCACTCTACTTGTTTCTGGAAACCTCATCTTTTGAATGTGGGCTGTAAACAAACGTATGATAGAATCGAAGCTGTACTTGTAGATCTGTTTGTTTTCCCCATGACGATGAAAAATGGCGTTGACTTTCCACTACCAAAATAACAGATATCACCGAAACTTGTCTGTATTATTCGCAATGAACGCAACTGACAGAATCTATTGAAATTGCCCCCACCCAGAAATACGCGTTGATTGTATTGCAGAACTGATTCGTATTGACGTGATAAATCAGAGAAGATAATCGGTAGATTCGAAGATGACCAATCACATGGAGCTTTTGTCGGACTAGTCCGCAGCGACTTTGATTGGTTGAGGCTCATCCTCGTGCCTGTCTACGATGCTGCTTCTGGCCGTATCACGCGTGACAGCTGCTGGATCACCACACAGTCATTTGCTGAGTAGACCAAAATAACCAGTTTCCTCAAGGTTATTTTTGTTCTCGCCAATTTGACTCTGAATAGTGAAATCGAAGCAATCATGAAAATTAGTGCCAACTAATGCTTACCGAATGAATCATCTGAGTCTGATATCATCGGAAAAAGAATGCACCTTGATGTAGTGTAACGAATTGCACATCTCAGCGACGCAATGAACTATAGAGGATGACTTACCTCAGGCCGAAGACTCAATTGCACCTGACCCCTTAGTCCTCCAGATTTGGGTCGACCTGACTTGGAAACTAGATTACGCGGATAACCTTGATTGTTTGTTCGAATAAACCGAATTGTGTCGATCGCTTGAATAATTTGGCAGCAATTTGACGACGGTTGGGAGCACAGTAGTAGAGGTGAGCATGCGTATATTTAAGGCTCGAGCAGCGTACCCTGGACTGAAACACTTGCGGCGGTAACGAAATATTTCGCTGAACTTGAAATGTAGAGTGTAGTGTGCTCCGGTGCACCCAGTTCTCTTGTATGGTTGTGAGACACGGAGTATGCGAGTGAAAGTTGTTCGTAGCATCACTCGGTGATGATGTGGATGATGAGGAGAAAAAGGAGGATGAGGATGATGCCTCAACTGACCTACTTCCTTTCAATTCAAAACTGCTTTCATTTTTCTCTAGATAATCACCCGGATTTCAATATCCATACCTACAGAGGGAGGATAAACACTGCTGATCTCTACAATGTCGTACTCAGTACCCGATTACCCCCACCTGTTACCTTGCCTCGGCCAGTATAGACCGATTCCTATAAAATAACTCCCAAGGATTAAGTAGTAGTGGATGAAAATGATTTGTCCACAAAATCGAATGGTACTGCTTTACCAAGTTTTCATGCAGCGGTTGATCAAATATGTTACAATTATCTTTCTATCAATGGGATTTAAAGGGATTGAATTCCCTCGATTGTTAGCAAAGGACTCAGTGAACTGAATACCACTCGAGAGTGCAAAGAACCGTGTTTTTGAAGAAAAAACTTGCTTTGGTCTCTCACTTTTAAATTTTGCTTTTTTTACGCACGGCCTGAGCAATCGATCCCCGTTGTAAATCCTACCGTAACAACCCGATTTCGTAAATAGGGAGAACGAGGGCAGCGTACTGGTGTGAAAGAAATTTCGGCTTCTTAGGGAGGAAACCGAATAATATCGAACGTGTCTGTCCAGTAGGATTGTTTCCTCGTGAAGACTGGCACACGGAGTTATTTCTCTTATTAAGTCGGACCGGGTTTCGATAATGTTCCCAAAACTGGCTCAGCTACATTCATGAGCGAAGGCTTGTCGCGTAACTGACTGGGCTTATTACGCCCAAATGATTTCTGAAATCCATGTTGTCTCTTTGATTGGAGAGGCTTTATGAAGGTTCCCTCACACCGACTCTTCGAGAACACAACTTGACGTATGATGGAAGGGGCCAAACTACTTTGGATAAATATCGCCTTTTTTTGCTCGCGGATATTTTATCTGCGTGGTGGACAGGGCTAGGGTGCCAGCTGCTATTGTGTTGTTGTCTCCGGTTCATGATCCAGTTTTTGCGCGTGGAATGAGTCCAGAATGAGTTCAGTTGGAAACTGATGATCTGAGTACTGCGCTTCGTTGAAATCCGTGTGCCTCAGCTGTTTGGTGTGTCGAACAAAGAAGTCCTCTGCTACGATCATTTAACAAACATTATCTCTGTTACTTCGATGGATGTAATGGACGAAGATAACCTAGTCCCTAATACCCAGTACTTGAACAATGTTCCGTGCGAATTCACTTGTCCGAAAGATAGAAACGATATGGTAGTGGAAGCATAGATTACGAAGATCGATAGCGGACTAAGCTGAAGTGAATGAGATTCGAATGTTATGCGTTGAACCCCGCGAATGTGTGTACGAATTTACGAGAATAACATGTAATTTTGCACCAGTATGAGTCTGTAGATGTCTGGTACGTACATTGTTCCGAGAATGTTTATCTAAAGGGCCATTTCAGTGTTTTTTATGAGGATTCAAAAGCAACGACAGTTAATAATACTCACATCCTTTATTAATTTCGACACAAGTGTGGATGTGCAACAAATTGGGACGAGATTTCCAGCAGCATTAGCACGGAATCAAGTTTGCGTTCTGTTGATGTTTCTTGTTCAAAATGTGTCATTTGCATAAACACATTGCAGGATTAGTTTTGTCTTCTCTTGAGTCCAATCACCGAATGATACATGATGAACGAAGCTGTTTCCATTATCATCCAGTTAGTTACCAGTATTGTAAACCTTTTTGGAAGACCACGAATAAAAGTTACGGAGTATTAATAGAATCATGTAAGCATGCCACGTCCATGTACACAGCTTGACTGGATTAGTTGTAGTGTCCACAATTATCTTAGAATTCCCACATGCAGAAATATCAAATCAACGAGACTTACAGTGCACGCCTAAACTAAAGAAGATTTCCGAATGATTGTTAATTGTTAGCAGTAATTATTTTTACGGAAGATTTTTGGATATTTTTTCAAATTTCATGATGGACATCTCGCTTGTACTGACCAACGGTGACAGCAATTGTGAGGAGAGATGGCCATGATGGTTTGCGTGTGAATTCTTATTATGAATCCGTTTGAAAAGAGGGAAGGGTTGCAAATACGGCAACATTGCAAGCGACTTCCTTGCCCAGATTTAATCCTATGGCGAAAACAATGCTTCTGATCAAAATCTCCCGGACATGTGTGGATGACGCAACATCATAATTTATTTGTCTTTCTTTCTGTAATCGAAAGTCCTTTTAACCTTGAAAACCTTTTCCATAAATAAGTTTGTTTGTAAATATTGTACCCAACTCACTGACACCCTTTCAAATGGCCTGTATGTAAAGCGCACTTTTGTGGTAACCTGAATTCATCACCGAGGGAAATCGCAATTTATAACCTAAACATAATCTCTAATTATTTGAATAAGTAACCAATGTGCTTTTACTCATTAGCGCGGTTGTTTCCACGAAACAGATCGCGATTTCCTAGTAGCAATTTTTGCTCAATATCTAAATTTTAAAAGCTCTCAGTGAACCGATTTCGTTTAGAAAAATAAATATAATGTTCTAAGTACGACCGTTTTGACTACCGCTTCTCCGCTATTCTGTAAATGTTGCAAATCCAAGAATATCATCATTTCTGATTCCTATGACCCACGGGGTTCCATTAGACCGGGAGGTCGTTCGGGGATGAACGTATAGGGGGCTAAATTTGGTGGACAAACCACGCGACCGGGGCCAAGCAGGCCATGACGAACCGCGATTCAAATTTCATCTTGTCAACATTCCATCTCAACAAATTCTTACACGTAGTCCATATAGAGCACGAGACGCAACAGAAACCAAGTGGGACAAATTCGCTTGTTTTGAACTGAGATTTAACCGTGTTTTTCTTTGAAAGTCAGAAATGGGATTACCCGTTCAACTGATCTGTGAGAAACACGCACAAACAGAATACTGTACTAGGAATTGCTTTCCCGTCATCTAACTAGGTAATATCCCATCAGACATCGACAGTCTAATAGGGATTCAGGCGAAATATGACCATATTTTGGGAACGGTGTTCAAGCCCTCAAGATGGGTAAGTACAATCTAGCGCATGACCTCTGCACGGTTGTAACCACATTTGAATCGTATGGAGCATGCATACAGGAATAGCACATTTTTAGAATCACATCGGTGCACGCACCATAGGATTCAAATGAGCTTACAATTTGGAACCAAGTGTAGAGCACACAAGTACGGATAAGTATACCTGATGAGCAGAAACATTCGAGAAACCGTTTGTGTGCTTTCGGGGAAATTCAGTCCTATTTTCCAGATGTACCACCACACCATTCACTCGTAAGACATCTGTGAGTCTATATTTTTGTTCACACTGCAAGCACTAGGCCGGAGATGCAGAAGAAATATTTGCGTCAAGGCTGCAGTCGAGAGTTTACCAAATTGCATAAGTGCCGATGAAAATACTTGACGAGTTCGGTAGTGCTGGGAAACTGAAATTGATCATCTTAGGTGAGTGGATAATGAAGTAACAAGTCAGTTACGCGGCAGAGTGATACACATAATTTTATTCTCGATTATCAGGCCAAATTGTGCTGAGAATAAATTGAATAGCCTTATGAATTTGTACGAGAAAGACAAGTTTGTGTGCTCTGAGTGTTCAATGTGAAGAAGTTTTCTTTGGACAAGCATCAAATACGATTCATCACTTACGGTTTCTTTTGACTAAATATATATATATATATATATATCACATTGTTTTCTATTGATGAACAAAGCCCGACTCATTATTATCCGGTAGCTTTGAACTGGTCTGGATGTGTTTGTGAGCGCACAAATACAACTGTGGAATATTCACTGAATGAGAAGAAAAGAACACGTCGTTGACGGCGGCTGGACGAGGCTGTTTGTGATAGCCACTACCATTTCAGGTTTCGAACGGGAGCCAACAGGGAAGAATTTCGAAGAATAAGTATGTGTAGTTAGTTTACATTTTGCACGAAGCCCATCTCAGACCGATGGCAATGGAAAATTCAAACCTTATGGTTCCGGGTTGAACACAAGCCGTCGCTGACCGCTTCCATATTCATTAACCTCAAACCGATCACTAGCCAATTTCTTCTTCTACTTCTGTTTCGGAATGGGTTTATATTATCCACATTTATTTGCTAACGCACATGAGCACCATCATGTTCAATGTTTTCACTGAAAACGACAGACATATTCTGGCCACGGAAAATTAGTCTCTCATATGTTCCCATCAGAATAAATAGATATAAGCACTCGTATCATTTAATCACAAAAATACAAATGAAATATTTGTTTACTTGCCAACCATTCGAATTGACCTGGGAAATTGAGTTCTGTCAAAAATAGCACACTCATTTGTGTGTCGTCCAATAATTGATAATTCAATATAGGCCACGAACGTTCAACCGACTAGGGAACAGTATTTGGACACTCTGTACAGTGTGTTCTTTGAAGATGGGTACCCTCTGGAGCTTCAAATTAGTAATAATACTACTAAATTCAGTAGCAGCAGTTAGCTTCTGACTTTTTCTGGATTCTCGGGGGAAAAATTGCGT